ATTGTCAGCAGTTGAGGCAAGGGTAGTTCTTTGCCCAGTAGGCCATTTTTCCACATTGAAACCCGTATCTCCCATATCGAGTTTCTTCAATGTCTATCTTCTTCTCTGATGTAATTGGTGTTGCCAGAAGCAGTTGTGTTTCAGTGTCATGAAAAACCCTAATAAACCATTTTAAATGCCATATTCTGTAGGTCTTTGAAAGGTTTGAAGAATATCTATCCATTTGAAATATATCTCTGTATATCTAGAAAACCTAACCAACATGACTATAAATTTTGACTACTTTAGATGACTGTCTATTACATATTAAATGAGCTATATAAACATAATACCTAAACAAGAGTAGAAATACATATATAACAAAATTGACTTTAAATTTCTATTAATAAACCAAAATCCACACCAATGCAAAGCATTCATTTCTATGTCACACACTTCCACTTGTCATACTCTGCTCTTGCTGAGACCTCTCACAGAGGCAGAGCTCGGGCCCTTCTCTAGCCTTTCCCCACTGATTACCACAGTTACCGCTTTCCTTGTCTTCTTCCTTTCCTCATCCTGTCTGGTCATGGATCCTCGTGCCTGAGTATCTGGGACAACAGGTGTACTCTACTGGGTCAGGCTAGAACGTTTCAACAATGCTAATCAAAACCACTGACTCACTTCCTTAATGCTCCCAGTGAGACTGACTTTCCACTTTTACCTCCCTCCATTACAAGCCCTGAACTAGTTTTTCCAGTACCAGAGTCCCCATCTACTCTAAGACAGGCCAGGCTACCACCTTCCTTGTCCTGTCACTGATTCTCCCTTTCAAGGTTTTCCTACCTTACTTTGCTAAAATGATTTCTGTCCTACTGTTGTCTTTTGAAATCACTTCTCCTAGTAGGGTTCAGCCTCTCGCTGCCTTCTCCAAGTCCTGGATTCCATAGGCAAAATTTATTTCATTAGCACTATCACAGTCTGACTTAAGTCTGCCACAACTGTTTATTATACTTGGGTTTCTAATATCATATCTACTATGCTATGAGGATGAGGGAATTAGAAATATCTATTTCTTGGTGCTATGGATTCAGCGAGTATATCATTAAATGACCAATCAACTACTGAAGAGGATTAGTAGGACTGGCCTTAGATTAATTTATGAACTAGAAAAATTAGCCTCTTGACATGTTCTGCGGAGTTTTACATTTTCGTAGGGGAACTGAGATCTTTAGGCAGAGAAAACCTCAAAGCTCAGGTGTGTGGCCAGGGACTTACTCTTCACAGAGACAACCAAGTGCCTCACTTGCCCTCGACAGAATGGCTCAGGAACACTGGGTGTCTGCTTTTCTGGCGATTGCTTTGTTGAGGTGCAATCGTGGCTCAAATGTCGTGGGAGTAACCAAACACTCTCTGACTGGATTTAAGGTCTACTCCATGACATGGAGCCCATGCCTGACATTGCTTGGGTAGCAAAGAACCTGGGGCTGGATGGAACATGGGCCTAGAGGAAAACCAGATGCTACGGTTCAGGAACATAGCAATAAAATGACTCCTGCTATATTCACAGATCAGTCTCTCTCTCAGCCGTCATCAGAGCAGTTTCTTCTTGCAGTAGATGGGAACTAACACAGAGACCCAGAGAGAGAGAGAGAGAGAGAGAGAGAGAGAGAGAGAGAGAGAGAGAGAGCGAGAGAGAGAGGAACACTCAGTCCTAAATGGGTTGTCTTCAACAAACTCCTCCCCTCAGGGCTTAAGGAGCCATGCAGAAGAGGGGGCAGATAGACTGTAAAAGTCAGAGGAGATCGATGACTTCAAGGAAACAGTGGCTTTCAGACACAACAGGACTGATGCACATATGAACTCACACATAGGACCTGCCCAGGTTCAAGCTAGATGGAAGGTCAGTGTTGAGTGGGGAGTAGACACACATTCCGATTCCTAGGCAGAAAGCTATTTGCGATTGACACCCACTTAACAAAGGAAAACTTAGTTCTCTCCAATGGAATCTCACTCAGTATGTTAGTCACACGTAAGGGCAGGCCCCATTGCTTTGTTTGGATTTTTATTTGTCTTATTGGTCTTTTGCTTGTATATTATGGCTCCCAAATTTGTGTTGTTACTTATTTATTTTTTGTGTGTATGTTTATTGTATTTTTTCCTTTGCATTTCAATTTGTCTAGTAACTTATTTATTTTTTGTGTGTATGTTTATTGTATTTTTTCCTTTGCATTTTGTTTGATGTTTTGTCTGTTTTCCAAAGAGAGAGAAAGAAAGGGCTGAGTAGGTGGGGATGGAGAAGAATCTGGGAGGGGCTCAAAGAGGAGAAAACATTATCAGAATATATCGTATGAAAAAGATTTCTCAATAAAAAATAATGTGCTTCATTAAAAACAAATCAATGAAAAAGAATAGTGAGAGTTTAAAATGGAAGCCAGGGGTGCATATGAAAACGATTTATCTCTTCCCTTCCTGGTAAGATCCAGCAGTGTCTTCAACAAGTCAAGAACAAGTCAAGAATTTCTGTGGTGAAAGGGTCTGGTCACTTTGCACTAGTGAGGGTTCCCATAGCTGTTCTTGTAAGAGTTAGTTATGCCTACGTTTCAGGAAGTGCAACCTTCTCTCTCTCTTGAGTTTCCCATTGATCCTGGATCGGGAGACTACTGATTAACACCAGATGTTCCTTTTCCTGTGTAACAGGGACACTTGGAATTTTAATATACCCTCTTTACAGGTGTATTAGGAAGCTAATTCTGACACCCAGTGTTTACATTAAAAATCCTCACTTCCTATTCTTTCAGGGAGAACTACCATGAAAGGGATTTAAGGTCATCTTCCTTGGGGGTGATGGCATTCTTCACAACCCTGTAGATAGGTCGACTCCTTCCCTCCTCAGCTATGACAGAGGTTAACATCTGTGTTCCTTACTTTCCTTAGTTCTCAAACATTTTGTCATCTGTTACCACAACTATTCCATGACTCAACAATAATTTCCCTAAATGACTGTGAGACCTTGTTTGGATTTTTAATAAACAGTCACATTCTAATGAGGTCTTCATAAAACTGACTAAATATGTTTAGAAATCATTAGCTTAAATTACCGGTGCAAAAATCTCCTCTGGGAGCCCTGCAGATTTGGTTATGAGACTTCCGGCAGATGGATTCATTCAATACCATGGCAGCGTTGTTTGAATCTCCACACAAGCAGTGTAAATGGGAGTGCCTGGGAAACTGGAGACTGGATAAGACACCGAGTGTCCCTCAGGTGGCCCCATTAAACAGGGAAGACAATCACAACATGTTCCAGTGCCATTTAACTGCCAGGTGTGCGGCTGCTGGCAGGTGCCAGGGAAACTGACAAGGGTCCCTTCCTCGACACGTGGGCTGAAGGGGAATGCACAACAGTGACATGGAAGTCTCAAATAATGACAGGCCCTGGCAGATGTAGCAGGGACCCCACTGCAGGAGAGTGGAGCGTGTCTGTCTTCCACGCCAGGTGCTGCGACAGGGACGGCCTCCCAGTGGTTCCAGCACAGGCAATTAAAGCTTCCTGTTGCTGAGTGCTTGAGGGCAAGAAAGAGTGGAAACAGGTCCCCAGCTCTGATTTAATGAATCGGCAGCAAGTCTGTGTAAACAAACACGCATTCGTGAGGCTCATGGGTAATTCATGAAGGATGCCCCGTGTGTGGTGCACATGTTAAGAAGGTAGCGGTTGCCCTTAAAAATCATGTCATTTTGATTTCCTGGATGGTTGCTGTTGGTGTTTCTATGCATGGAAAATGGGGAGTTGCCTCTAAACAAAGATGCAGCGCTAACAACGGGAAACAGCCCGGAACAGGTCAGGGCCTTTCCCAGATGGGACACAAGCTCTTGTCAAAGCTTCCAAATCCATGCCAGACACTCAACAATAGATGCCATTAATGTCACTACTAATTGAAGACAAGCCCATGAAGGGACGGGAGGCCTCTTCTGAGGCCCCCACACCTTCCCCACCAACCTGGTGAGAGTTTAGGATTTGTTGAAAACAAAACTCAACGATTCTTATCTCTGGCAAGCCTATGGATATAAATTTATGAATAAACCAGAAACCTAATATGCACCCTGCCACCTTCAGCTACATCCCATTGCCTGGTGTCTCCATACTGATTTGGCAAAGCCATTGTCATAAAAACCAGTGACAACCCCTTACAGGGCAGGCCCAAGGGCCTGATGGGAAGCAGGAACAGTGACCGCCACAGTGGGACACTTTCAGTTGTTATATTTATGGGACTGCACCACTTGATATGAAAGCTGACTTCTCAAAAATGTACCTATAGTCTTTTGCACGATATTACTAGTTCTTTAAAAAATGTTTACGGGTGTTCTGCCTGAGTGTATGCCTTGGTGCTGGGGGATGCCGGAAGAGAGTGTCTGATCCTCTGGAACTAGAGTTACAGATGGCTGTGAGCTGTCTATGATTAGTAGGAATTGAACCCTGGTCCCCTGCGAGAGCCATGAGTGCTCTTAACTGCAGAGGCATCTCTCCAGCCATTATGGTTCCATTCACTGTAGTATTAACAGTACAATCTCCTGTCTCTACATCAAAGACCACACTGTTTCTACCCTTCCTTCAAGTAAAGAATTTATCATGTGTAAAGACTTTCCCCTCTTAAGGCTACTGAGTCTGGATAGAGCATACTTGGGAATTTCAGCTAAGGAAAACAAAATACACATGCATATTTAGTCTGAAACACTAGTGGCCCTTGTTATTTTACTGCTTATTCACTTTGCAAAATAACTTACTTCAGCAAACCTAATCTTTAAAATCTGAGGCAGCAAATTCTTTTTTTTGGGGGGAAGTAGCTATTGTAAAAGTCCATGAACCCTGGAAAGCTACCTCCATAGGCCTCACTATGGGATGTGGACATTGCACAAATAAAGCCTGTCTGGGGGACAGCTCAGAGAATGGAGCTTGCCACTAGCTAACCATAGAGGTCTGGAGGTCTGTACAGACAGACAGGAAGTGAGGTAGCCAGCAGAAACAGGATATAAGCAGGGAGAAACAGGAAATCGCTCTCCTGTCTGCTGAGATAATAAGGAGGTGAGGTGAGTTGTGACTTGCTTCTTCTCTCTGATCTCTCAGCATTTCCCTCTATATCTGACTATGGCTTTTTATTATCGAGACCAATTAAGAACTCCATCTACATGTGGAGATTTCAGAAACTGGAATGAGTGTGTGCTTCCTCAGAAGGAATGGAAGACCAAGACAATTCTCTGCTCTGTCACGGAAGACTTCAAAGGTAGACTCTATCGCTCTTTGACACTATCCAGGAAGCCACCCATTCTGGGTGTTTTCTGAGGAGTGGGGAGAGGACAATGAGCAAAATGGTTTCATATCTTAAATGAGAATGAATTCTGGTGCCATTCCCACCCTATAATATTCAGGAAGATCAGGGTTGTTATATGTATCACTGTTGATCTGAGGTTTGAAAATAGAACATTGAAATTAATATCTAGTATTTACTAGGTCCTCATAATGGGTAAGGACTTCTCTACTGGACATGGGGAAACTATTACACAGTCTATATCAGAGCTCTCCAAAGCAGGTGGTCATGGGTGGAATATTTTATATCCCCAGATTCAAATGTTGGGACCTGACTACCCATTTCCCGTGATGGCTATACCTGGAGATGAAGGAGCAAAGATAAATGAAGCTAAAAGGGTGGAGCTCTGATCCGACACCATTGGTGTTGCTGTGAGAAAAGACCTAGGAGCTCACTCTATCCGCCATGCTTATGCTACTTGAAGTCCCGGTGAGGAAGCATCCACGTGAAAACCAGGAGGAGCCTTCTTGAAATTCTGAAATTGGTGACCCTGATGTGAACTCAGCAGCCCCCAAAGCTCTAAGAAAATAAACGGCTATGGTTTATGCCCCTCAGCTCAGGGTATTGTGTCACGCACTCTCTGGCCTGCCGGAAGTGCAGGCACCATCGCATGCCACTCCTGATGCTATGACAGAGTCCCTCTAGGCTGACCACGTGACCACCAGCACCTGCTGGACCAGGCTCCAAGCCAGCTCACCTGCACTCCCACAGCTACCAGAAGCAACAGAATTGAAAGAAAGAAATGGGTTTTCTACCTTCAGTATGGAAAACATTGCTTTGAAAGGTGTTATGTTTTTACGTAATGGACCCATACACCTTCCTTCCCCACCTCAACTTGTCTCTTTGGATAACCTTTGCTGTACAGAAAACTTTACATGATTAAATTTTCAAAAATTCCGATCCTATCCAAGCTTTTGCTATCTTTGAAACAGTCTTAAAAAAAAAAACTACCCAAAGTCTTAAATATTTTTCCTGTATTGTTTTCTATCAGTTTTAAAGCTATATTTGTGATATGGAGGTTTTTAGCTTTTACTTGTTTGGGGCCATTCCATGAGGAAGAGATCTTTTTTCTTCTTTGGGTTCACATGGGAAGCAATGTCCCAGCTGGCCTGATTGGAAAGCTCTGTAATTACATATCTTTCCACTTAGGCCTGCAGTCAACATCTGGGCCCTCTGCTTTGACATATTGGCCCATTTATTTCTTCCTGTCAATTTGTGACACCCATAATTTTCTCTTCTATGGTCTTTGTCTGGGATGGATTTCAAGGTTGTCCCATCCTCAAAAGTCAGATGGAAAAGCAATCTTTCCTTCTCTATTTCCTTAGAATCATTTTTATAAAACACACAAAAGGTATTTGTATTTCATAACTTATAAGGTTAAATAATACAAGATTTGAATATTGAGTACCAATGAACACATTTGTGTCTAGTACATTTTCATGGCAGACTTTTGGACATGCTTCAGTTTTTAAATAATTGTTTTATCAGAATTTCATTTTTCCTTTGGAACTGGTCTTAAGAGACCAGTTCTACAAAATTAGCAAATGTATTAATTTATTCTCTTATCACAAAGCCACTATCCTCTTTCTAATATTGGTAATATCTGGTTTTATTCCTTTTATTTCTGATCTCTTGCCAAAGGTTTGTCTATTTCATGCAACTAGGTTTGTATTTGCTATGATTTAATTCACTTCTCTACTTTTCTTAATTTTCTTTGGTTTTGCTCTGACTGCTTTCTTGAATTAGAAGTCTCATCTAGGGACTTTCATATTTATTTTGCTTGTGTCCTGTGAGTTTATACACTCCTCCCTCAATATCAATGGGGAGTTGGTTCTAGGGTTCCCCTGGGGGCTCCTTTATGTAAACTGCTAAAGCATTTGCATGGAACGTAGGCGATACCCTCCTATATACATGAGTTACATCGTCTCTAGACCGTTCGTGATGCCCAATACAGTGTAATGTCAACAGTGTTGCTATATCGTCTAGGGAACAAAATAAGTCTGTGCATGTTGAATACAGATGAGGTAGGTGTAGGTGTGTGTGTGTGTGTGTGTGTATGTGTGTGTGTGTGTGTGTGTGTGTGTGTGTGTGTGTGTGTGTGTGATGAACCTACTGTTGGTTGAGTTCATGGCCATGGGGCCCACAGACATGGATGGTCACTCTCTGTGACACTTTTTTGACCTTACATTAGGTCTTATTTCAACCCATGAATTTGGCAGAGTTCGCTTTCCTGGGATCTTAAGGGAAGATGGAGCAATGTCCCTGTCATTCTCCACGGCATCTCTCTACTCTCCTCTCTTTCCCACTTCCTCCCCGAGTTTGCCTTTTACCCAACCATCCACGCCCCCAGCTTTGGATTTTATGTCAACACTGAGGGCCCAAGATGTGATCTCTTGACTTCCATGAGCTTCAAAACCAGGCTGCTTCTCACTGAGATGGACACAGTGCTCCTCTGCCTGTTTTCAGGTACATTATAGTCTCCAGCCCTGTCTGTACATCAGGTCTGCGGTAGTTTTACTTTCTTGAGTATTAAGTTGCATATTTTAAACGGGTCTATTTACATACCCACGCTATGAATATGAATCATTAAAAATAAACATGGTTCATCTAGAATTTCAAGATGTCTGTGGATGGTCATATGATCTAGTCTGGCATCTTTTCAGTGTATCCCACTTACTGAGATCTTCTTCTGTTTGTTTGCGCCTCCTGATAACTTCCAGAAACCATAGGGACCACCCTCCCCCTTTAAGGTTCTTGCTTCAATAACTCAATTCTAGGACAACTACCAAGCTGCCTTTGCTGGGTATAAATACCGACTTCCCTAAGAAGTGATGGGCTCTTCATTTGGGCTGAGTGTCACCAAGGAACTGAACCCATTATAAGGAAGTTGTACCCTTTTTATTTTCTCATTTAAAACTTGTGCTCTGGAGGTAATCTGCTAAGATTACCACCGCTCTTCAGCTTCCTGGGTAAACAAAATGAAAACCCATAAACAGTCGCTAGAGACAGGAATATAAGAACTCTGGGGCATAAGAATTATGGTTCCAGTTTGATAGGTTATGACACCAAAGCACACTGAAGCGTGACAGCATGCTGGGTTTCTAATCCACAGACAGGTCCCAGAAATGCACATTGTTTTTAGAACCAATTCCCCCGACTTACAGAAGGCTATCATGTGTATTGTGGCACCCATGGTGGTTTGACACCCAACCACCGGCATTGATGCTTAGAGGTATTTCTGTGTGCCCAATATAGCTCAATAACGACAAAATCCTGAGTGTGCTCCCTGTCTGTTGCTATTGCAACAAATGGAAGCCATTTGATGTGCTTACTGAAAATGCATAAACTACTGTGGTAAGCAACGGGAGAAGCTGGGTGGTTAAGATTTCTTTCGGAGCATATGCAATACTTCAAGAGTGTGGTTCGTGTCTCCCCTGTCACTCACCCAGCAAGGGACCAGAGGGCATTTGCAGGGGATGGCCAGCTTACCCTTCCCACTTCCACGAGATTGGTCACCATGATGATGCTCGCAGTGTTCTCATGCCACACCATCCTCCAGAAGTCATAGATGGTCTCCTGCATGGGTCCTGCAGCAAAACAGAACTGGGGTGTCATTTTCCACTGGAGCACTGATGGGACTTCAAAGTCGTCTCTGCATTTCCACATACAGACTCTAGGCTTTTTCGCTGGACGCCTCTCTGCAGCAGCCATACAGAAAAGAACTCTGTCTAAGAGTGTACTTATAGCAAGAGCCGATGTTCCATTCATGGCTGACGCTTTTTTCATGTCTCCCAATATTATCTGCATTTTGAGTTCTCTTTACTCCTCTTAAACTACTACCGTGAAAGAAAGTGATTTCTCCATCATTTAGTTATTTATCTCCATAATACTCAAGAGTGGAATTAAAAAAAAAAAAAAACTGGCTAACATTACTCTTGCTGCTAACAATTGGCAGCTATCCCGGGGAAGTGGTATTCGGAATGAAATGAGCCTCTGTAGGAAAGATGGCCTTTTCTTGTTTCTAATATTTTTTTCTTCTTTGGTGCCATCAGTCAAATGAATCCATTTTCTCTTTCCACACGACTTTCTCTAAAGTGAGAGAGAAGCTAAGAGGCTAAAGCAGCTGCTCTCCTTCCCATGGCACATGGAACTTCCTGGCAGGATGTGGCCAGGCACCTGCCACCTTACCCCTTGAGATGTGAGCATTCAGAACTCTTTCCTGTGGCTTAGCAAAAAAATTCCCCCAAAACCCACCAAAAACCAAACCAAACCAAAACACCATATGGGTGGGAATATGAGTTACAAAAACGCCCATGCTGACATCACAGGTACAGAAAGCTGGGATTTAAATGTTCTTTTAACTCAAACTTTTATTTTTAACATGCGTATAGTAGACTTTGATAATATCCACCCTGTCAAATTCTCCTTGGTGCTCCCCTCCCCATGCCCTATTCCTCTTCTTCACTTATTTTTAAAACACAACTCATTGAGTCCAGTTAGCTCTGCCTGAACATGCATGAGCATGACACCAGTCGCCAGAGCTTAAAAAATAATAGCCAAACTGCCTCAAGCCCATGCGTACTGAGGCTGTAAAATTGACTGCATAAAGAAGACAAGGAAAAATGCAAGGGGAGGAGAGAAAAGCTAGTTTAAAGGCCCGGCGAGGCATAGCCTCTATGGAACATCACATGAACATTCAGACAGGCATAGACCTGCCGCCCTCTTGCACTAGAGTGTCTTGGCACTGGGGGTCTTGACTTTTCAGGTGTTTGAACTTGAGGGGTGTGACCTGGGATAAATTACTTGAGCCTCCGAGTTGCCTTCTTTAGGTGGCAATGCTAACACCTTTCTTGAGGACCCTTGGAGTGCAAACATCTTATTAACAACGAAGCAGCCGAGGGGAAACAAGGTGTATTTGTTGGTGTTCATCTCTATTTTGCGTCTGGACACAGCAATAGCAGCATGCCGAGGGCTCCCCTCAGGCATCATCCCGCTCCTCTGGACAATTATCAATAGTTACCGTGCAGAGTCTCTTGTTCCATCTGTCCAGACTCTTCCCTTTGCCCCCAGCACACATATCATCCCCCCTATGCTGTCCAGAGAACATGGCCCTACACTCCTGCAAAAGCCAACCCAGTTGTCCTAGGTCTGTGTCAAACCCCTTTGGGGATGGGGACACACATGCCACCTTCTGTGAAGTGACACTGGCCATCTCGGGCCATTTCCTGGCACATTCATGCCGTTCTCTGCTGCAGGACTTTAGTGACGTTAATCTCAGGCTACAGAAGGGACAGGGAAACCTCAGCCTCTATCAATCACTCATCCCTCGCTTTTGGCGTGAACCTAACAGCTCGTTACTTATTCAGTAGGAAAACTCTGCATTGAGTCGATCTCTGTGCAGAGTCTCCCCCCAGTGTGAAGAAAGCCCTGATACAGGGCCTCGGGCCTGTGCCACATACTGAAACATGAAGCAATAGTTCTGATGACCATGACTACAGTAGATGGGCCAAGGGTTCGGGCATCTTCAAGTTCCCCTACCTATGTCCCCAGGAGATTTCCCAGGCATATTTGAGACCAGGATACTTTGTTGGGCTTTTCAAAGTGCCTCTTGCTTAGTCCTTCATAACGGCTCACCCCCTGTGATTATTTAATTGAAATCTCCTATGGAGGGAACACAGTGTCTGGGTTCCTTATAGAACCCCTGCCACGCTGGGCGTTGGTGGCGCAGACCTTTAATCCCAGTACTCGGGAGAGCCTCCAAAAGCAATACAGAGAAACCCTGTCTTGAAAAACCAAATAAATAAATAAATAAATAAATAAATAGAAGCAGTGTGAGTGTGTGCGTAAGGCTGGTGCACGAGGCGTACGAGTGACCAGTCCTGGTTTTGACTCCCTTCTACGACCATCTGCAGAAGCTAAGGAACTATGGGCTTTATTTACCTCTTCTAATGCTGAAAAGGGTCATCCTTGGGGCTCATTTCAGACCCAGTGGGCCTATAGCTTGGTCCTCAGGTACTGCCTTGGGGAATTGATGTGGAACTGTTATTCCTGGCTTATAAGCAGATCAAAGCTCCAAGTTCAGGCTTTGCTTTTCAACTTTAGCTCAGCCCATTCCCCTGGTGGTCAAAGAAAATGCCTTCTTGCCAGCTGTTCTCCCCCGAGCACTGCTCTGAGTCTACCGATGAGCCTATCCCATCTCTAGGGCCACTGGGAATTTCTCTAAGTGCACAGGGACCTGATCGATTCTGGGTGAGGAATCCAAAACAGCAGGCAAAGAGGGGCTCTGCAAGCCATCCCTCTCAAATTCTGAACAGGTGTGACCCACATCTCTGCATGGGATTTCTGCTGCTTCTGGCTGAGTGGGAGCAGAACGGGACAGAAGGTGAGGTCAGATGTTGTCCTCCTGCAAGACCATGTCATTTGAAAGGTAATGTCTAGAAATTTCAACAGCACATCAGTAGCTCATTCCATTTCCTTCACATTGGCCGGCACACTGGGAAGGAAATGTGTGTGTGTGTGTGTGTGTGGGGGGGGCAGGCAGCTCACCACCACCCAGCCTTGCAAAGAAAGGCTGTAATACAATCAAAAACCCAAGTGAAAGACAGTCAAGGATGGATTCTATTGTGTAAGATGAGTTCTCTAGTTCACAGAGTAAGGGATATTACAAATTATAATTTCAAACCCTGGCTGGCAACCTACACCATGCTCCTTTCATGTTGGAATTTCTATACAGCCCGTTTCCTTGTTAACTATAGCTGCTGAGAAGTCAGGGTCCTCTGGACACTCACAGTGGCTCGTTTAGCTTTTAAAAGCAAGGCAGAAATACCAACGCTGCTCCAGGATACACAGAATACAATTTAACATATTTTGAGGGAGTTTTGAAGTATTTTAAGTGCATTATCTCATTAAGTTTAAAATTTACCATCCTAAGAAACGAGACTGACTGTCCCTGCCCTGCCATCAGATCACAGACAGACAGGCTCTGAGAAGCTCAGGAAGTGGCCGGATTGTACAGCTAGTGTGCCATGGAGTTGAGATTGTCCTTTCCCCCCTTCCTCTCCCTCCCCTCCCCTTTCCCTCCTGGATTCCTTTCTTCCCAAGACAGGGAGGGTCTCACAGCAGCTGGCCTCTAACTCACCACCCCCTAGTTGAGCCACTCAAGCACTAGCATGAAGAGGCTGAGGGTAGCTTAACTATTCCATCTCAGGGCTTCCAAGAGGAATAACTTAGCAAGACAGGTGTGTACCCTGAGTCTCAAGTGGAAGAGAGCAGAAAACCCCATGTTGCCCACACAGAAAAGCCCTTTGCAGTCTGGTTTTACATCAGGTCAGTTTTCTCCTTTAACATGTTTGTTGGCCTCCTGCTGAGACAGAAACAGCTCTCACCTTCACAGCAGCTAAGAGCTCAGGAGTTTCTCTGGAGCTCCCAGCTCTGCAGAGCCACCCAGAGTTCTTAACAGAGCACAGGAATCCTGTCTCCTGCCCTTCAGTGACACCTACCTACCTCTGACAGCAGCAGCCTTGACATGTAAAATGCCCAAGTGGCTCACACCCTCCCTGCCCCCTCCATCTCTCAGCCACACCCCACCCACAGACACACACACACACACACACACACACACACACACACACACACACATATACACACACAGACACACACACACACATACACACAATGAAAACCAACAAACTCGACCCTGCTAATCTGCTGATTGCCATTTCCTAATAGGTATAGAGCACAAACAAGGCCAAACCTGTTCTTTCCCCCAGGCCTCTTTGTGGACCTTTCCCTGTGTGACACTCAAAGCCCACATTTCATACCTGTTTCAATTCAGTAGGCACTCGGGAGGCAGAGGCAGGCGGATCTCTGTGAGTTTGAGACCATCCTGGTCTATAAGAGCAAGTTCCAGGACAGCCTCCAAAGCCACAGAGAAACCCTGTCTTGGGGGAAAAAACAACAACAACAAAAACAACAACAAAAAACCCAACCAACCCAACCCAAAACAAGCAAGCAAACAAACAAAACCCCAAAAACCACACAAACAAATCAATTCAGTAGGCTAGAAATCACTTCTTCCCTCAGCCAATGTTCCAAGCCCTCACAAGCACCAGCTCAGCCTCAGCCTGGTTTTGGAAGCTAGGTATTTTGTCTGGGATCCTTTTAGCAACACCAGGGGGCAAGGATGAGAAACAGCAGTACGTCCCCCACTTTCCAGAGGCCTGCCATTGTCTAAGGAAGAGATAATTCTAAGCACAGGTCCTCTCAGAGCAGGTGCAGTGCAGCCCATTCTCCTGAACAACTTCCAGCTGAGACCTGCAGGGCCTTGGGGACACAGACACCTTCCTTCCAAAGACAGCAGAATGGCTTTGCTAGTATTATTCCCCAGTGCTTACTGTCTACGTGGACTCTTCAGAAAGCTGCCTTCTGAAGTAGCCTGCATGCCTAATTGCCTTTCTTGAACTAAACAAGACCTTTGTTCATCTCCATGTGGTTGTGGGCATTGCCCAGGAGTAAAAACAACAGGAGTGAAAAAAAAATACAGCTGGGATATTGACCCTAGGAAGACAGGCTCCCTGCCTTCCCAGAG